TAAAGCAAAAAAACAAAAAAAAAACGCTAGCATAAAGAAAATGAACCAACGAGAATTATTTACACAGAACTAAAAGAAAAAAAAAATACAGGAACAAAAACAAATTTTTATAAGACAAGGGCAAGGCTTAAGAAAAAGCACACATAATCAACAAATAAGACTAACCGGACAACAACATAATTTTCTAAGCCGTGGGCACGACTTAACAAAGAGCTCCAAACACTAGAGACGACATGGCAGCTAAAGAAAACGAACCAAAGGAATTGACACGCACATGAACTCATTACGAACACACCAAAATCAATAAGAATTAAATCACCTCATGAAAATCAAAACCGTAAATACGACATTTACAATCCTTATGCGCGTCAATCTCATAATCACCCAAGATCTCTAAACTCGCGAACTCACTCCACAGAAAACACCAATTATCTAAAGAATTAGAAAATAGTTCCATGATTCACACTATGCACAATAAATCAAGATCATAGCTTTTACATTCACCAAGTATGCATGTCCTAATTATGCCTAAAAATAATGCCTAAAAAGATAAAAAGATAGGTAAACGTGAACGATATAATTAAAGTTAGCATAAAGAAATAATGGCACATTTAGCACTCTTACACAGACTGAAAAACTGCACCTTTTTTTTTTTTTTTACCACGAAGGAATACTGATCATCGGGTAGCTTTCACACTAAACCAAAGGTAGCCTTCTTTCTACATGATCATACCTCTTTCAACATATTTTTAATTATAGAAGAATTCGGTCACAAGGATTAGCTGCACACTCATGGAGTAGGTAGCTCTTTCCCTTCACAGTCTCCAACATGCTTTTTTTTTTTTTTGAAGATACGACCAACAATCCATTTATCAAGTGAAAAAATGCACCACTACAACTTCATGCCTCCGACAAATACACCGTTTATGCAATAATAATGCAAAAATGAATGAAAAGAAATAAAAAAATGCATGTACGCAAAACTCGTGTTGCAACGATGATGCGTCGTGGAAGTTGCAACACGACTCCTATTCTAATTTAAACAACACAAAAACCGATAGATTTCCTTAAGTTAGAAAACCTCTCAAAATCTAATGCCTTGGTGAATATATCTGCTAACTGATTCTCAGTCTCTATGTACTCAATGCGAATTATGTTTTTCTCAACTAAATCCCGAATAAAGTGATGTCTTATATCTATGTGTTTTGTGCGAGAATGTTGAACCAGATTTTTTGAGATATCAATCGCACTCTTGTTATCACAATATACGGTTAGGATTTCACTGTGGAGACCATAATCCTCTATCATTTGATTCATCCATAAGAGTTGTGTACATTCACTACCCACTGCTACATACTCTGCTTCAGCTATCGAAAGAGACACGCAATTTTGTTTCTTACTAAACCAAGAGACTAAGTTATTACCCAAAAAGAAACACCCACCCGTCGTACTTTTTCTATCATCAACATCACCGGCCCAATCAGAATCGCTAAAACCTACCAGATTAGTGTTTGTCTCTTTAGTGAACCATAATCCTAGCTCAGTTGTGCCTCCTACGTATCGAATGATTCGTTTTAAGGCTTTTAAATGAGAGACCCTAGGATTGGCTTGATATCTAGCACACAAACACACACTGTACATTATATCGGGTCGGCTAGCAGTCAAGTACAATAGGCTTCCTATCATGCTTCTAAACAAAGTCTCATTCACTTTCTCTCCAACATCATCTCTTCCCAATTTTTCATTTGAGCCCATAGGAGTCTTCATATGCTTAGCAGTTTCAAGTTCAAATCTTTTCACAAGGTTCTTAGCATACTTAGAATGAGACACAAATATACCTTCAGGCAATTGCTTAATTTGCAAACCAAGAAAATAAGAAAGTTCTCCAACCATACTCATTTCAAATGTAGAAGTCATGCATTCAACAAATTCATGCAACATATAATCACACGAAGATCCAAACACAATGTCATCAACATAGATTTGAGCAACAAGTATTTTTCCTTTGCCACGTTTAACAAATAGCGTTCTATCTACTTCACCACGAACAAAACCATTATGCAAGAGGTGTTCTGTCAATTGCTCATACCAAGCACGGGGTGCTTGTTTGAGACCATAAAGAGCCTTTTTTAATTTTAAAACATGGTTAGGCTTGAAAGGATCTTCAAATCCCTTTGGCTGCTTGACATACACCTCTTCATTTAAAAAACCGTTAAAAAAAGCACTTTTAACATCCATTTGGTGAAGAGTAATGCATAGGTAACATGCAACAGCAAGCAACAAACGAATGGACTCAATCCTAGCAACGGGAGCGAAGGTTTCGTCAAAGTCGATTCCCTCCTCCTGTGAGTATCCTTGAGCTACAAGACGAGCTTTGTTACGCACAATATTTCCTAGTTCATCGGTTTTATTTTTAAAAATCCATTTTGTACCGATAATATTCCCAGAACTAGGTGGAGGAACTAAAAACCAAACATCATTTTTCACAAATTGGTCTAGTTCCTCTTGCATGGCATTAACCCAAAACTCATCTTGTAAAGCCTCTTGGACATTTTTTTGTCTCAATTAAAGAGATGAAACAAGAATTCATTACCTCGGAGCAGCTGGAACTCATACAAGCTAATTTTACCATGTCGCGAAAATTTATTTGCTTCTTACGAGTTCGCATACCATCCGTTACCTCACCAAGAAGTTGCGAAATGGGGTGAGTTTTTTGAACTCTGGTTGGAACATCTTGTCTCCTGTCAGAAACATCCTCAGATCGTATTGGGGTCTCTGGAGTGGTATTCTGTTCGTCGGAAACACGTGTCGCATCAGGTGCTGTGTCAGGTGTCATGACACCTGGGACGACATTTGGGACGACTTCTGGAACAGCATCAGAGACAACATTATCAGCAGCAGATTGCAGAAATTCCAACAGCATCTGAGCATCCTCCTCAGCATTTTTACCTGCCAAATCAGAGTGATCATCAAACACAACATTTACGGATTCAATAATAGTCTTTGTTCTAAGATTATACAATCTATATGCTTGACTATTAGGAGAATATCCAACAAAGATGCACTTATCGCTTTTAGAATCAAATTTTGATCTAGCTTCACGGTCATTTAACACAAAAGCAACACAACCAAAAATATGGAAGTATTTTAGATTTGGTTTCCTCCCCAACAAGATCTCATATGGTGTCATCGTACTCCCAACTCTAAAATACACCCTATTAGAAATATGGCATGCCGTATTTAAGGCTTCAGCCCAAAACCGTTTAGCAAGACACTTCGAATTTAATAAAGTTCGTGCCATCTCTTGCAAGGTCCTATTTTTCCTTTCAGCTACCCCATTTTGTTGGGGTGTGATAGGAGCTGAGAACTCATGAAAAATTCCATTTTGAGAGCAATAATTATCAAAAGAAGAATTCTCAAATTCATTGCCATGATTGGATCTAATTCTCCCAATTTTCAAGTTATACAAATTGCAAATTCGTTTGGACAAAGTAACAAAAGAATCAAATGCATTCGATTTTTCACGTAGAAACAATATCCACGTGAACCGGGAAAAATCATCAACTATGACAAAAGAATACTTTCTACCTCCAATGCTTTCAACCTCAATAGGACCCATTAGATCCATATGTAAAAGTTCCAGACAACGAGATGTATGAAAAGTATGAGGGTTGGAATGTGTCACCTTCGTTTGTTTATCTCTTTGGCATGAACCACACACGACAGAATTTTTAAAAGACAATCTTGGCATACCTCGAACAACATCTAGTCTTACGAACTTGTCCATCATATTGTAGTTCACATGCCCAAGATTTTGGTGCCACAACTCTACCTCATCCAATTTTGCACGATTGCACAGTGGCTTGGTCTTTATTTGGTAGCAATTGTCGGAAGTCCGTACTCCTGTCAAAATACACAAGTTAGACTCATTAAAAACTTCACAAGATTTGCAATCAAATTTAACGTGAAGATTATCATCACATATTAATTGACTTATGCTAATAAGATTAGCCATAAGTCCTTCAACCAACAATACGTTCTGGAGCTTTGGGAGGCCTTCAACGTTGAGCGTTCCACGCCCTATAATCTTTCCATGCTCACCTCCCCCGTATGTAACTCGTCCACCTTCATATGATTCTATATCGCACAAGAAGTCACGAGTGCCGGTCATGTGCCGCGAACACCCGCTATCAAAGTACCATAAACCTACAATATTAGACTTCAAAGAGGTATGAATAACATTGCATTTCAACTCAGATTTTGGTACCCAAACAAATTTTTCTTTAGTTCTAGTTACGTGATTTTTGGACGAATTTCGAGATGCTGACGACACTCTTGATTCAAAAGACCTATCAAATGAATGCAACTTATAGCAGAAAGGTCTAATGTGCCCGGGGGCATGACAATAATGACAAACATATCTACGCCTTTGTTGTTTTGATTTCTTAACAGCTTTAGGCGATGATTTCAAGTCAGACTTACCTGTTTCCTCTGAAGGACGCACAAACATGGTAGGTGTAAACCCAAGTCCCACTCTATTGTTATCATGTTCAATGGCTGCTAGGACATCCAAATGGCTCTTACCAGTGTTAAGTCGTTGGAAGGTTTGACGAGAGTATTCAAGTTTTTCTCTTATCTTCACCAGCTTTTGGTCATGGCCTGATATGGTCACCTCCAATTGGGTTATGGTAGACTCTAATGCATCATTCTCCTCTTCCAATTTTTTAGACTCTGAGCATATCCTCTTGTTCTCATCATTCAACTTCTTGTTCTCCTTCTCGAGCCTATCCGCATCCCAGACAACATCTATCCATCGTTTATAAAGCTCCTTGTACACTTTTTCATGATCTTCATGGTTAACATATTCAATGCTGTCCGGAGGACCTATATCCTTACCTGAAGAGTCACAAAATAAGGTGTTAAGACAAAAAAAATTCAGAATTTTTATTTTCATACCTGTCAGGTGTCATGACACTTCGGGCGACACCTCGGCTGACACCTGCTGGATTGATCTGTTTGGGCCTGAAATCGCTCACTGTGGTCACAAAAGCAGCATCCCCATTATTTTCAGCTTCAGAATCAACAGAGCCGTCATCTACCTCTTCATCATCGCTCAAGGTAATGTTAAAACTCAATCCTCTTTTGCGCAAAGTATTGGCACACTCATTCGCATAGTGCCCATACCCTTTGCAAGCATGACATTGGATGGTCTCGAGCGACTTGGGAGTGAACGTTCTCCTACTGTCGGGTTTTGCCTTGTCTCCAGTTGGATTTGAACGATTTAAAGAGGACGAAGTGAATGGCCTGGGCATTTGAGACTTGGTGACTTGGTAATTCCTTTGAGTATTTCTTTTCTTCAATAATGACTTGAATCGTCTCGTCATGAATGCTACTCCTTCATCATCAAACTCATTCTCTTCCATGTCTCGAACAAGATTTTCAAAATTATCATCATTCTCGGACAACGACTGAAGAGCGATCCCCTTCCCTTTTCCGAAAGGTGCATTATTTTCTTCGAGATCTTGCACCTCAAGATTCATCTCGAACGTCCTCAGAGAGCCAACAAGATCATCAAATTTAATGGTCGTCACATCCTTCGAAACATCAAGCGCCGTGATCATCATATTGAAGCGCTTTGGAAGAGACCTCATTACTTTTTCCACGAGCCTTTCATTTGAGATCGGGTCCCCAAGGGAGTGACATTCATTGACAATACTCATCAACTTGGCCGTGTATGATGAGATATTCTCATTTTCGAGCATTCGAATAGTCTCAAATTTTGCGGAAAGAAGACGTAGCCTCGTTTGACAAACACCCCTCGAACCCTCACAATGACGTTGCAAGGTGTCCCATGCATCTTTCGCAGTAGTACACGTGATGATTAGTCGAAACATGTTCTCATCGACTGTGCCAAAAATTGCATTGAGTGCTTTTGAATTGAAGTTGGCCAACGTGCTCTCACCCGTACTGTACTCGGCTTCATTTTTCTCATGTTTCTCCCCTTCAATTTCTACGGTAGGAGGAACCCATCCGGTAAGTACAGCTAACCAAGCACGTCCATCAATGGATTTAATGTAGGATGCCATACGTATCTTTCAAGTGGTGTAATTTGAGCCATCGAGAATCGGAGGCCGAAAAAGCGAAGTTCCGTTGAACTTCATGTGTACCTATCAAGACAGAATCACACTTATTAAATTAAGCGACCCGCTCTGATACCACTTGTTAGAATTATAGGTACCAAATATTCCAGATTCACACGAAAAAAAAAAACAAGAATTAAAATACGCAGCGGAAAATTAACTAAATACGAAAGATTAAAAAATTTAGGCTACAAGTGAAATCACTTGTAGACTAAGGCACATGCCAAAAAATTCACTAGAACAAATCAAGTTTGATGTTTTCATACAATAACAAAACAATTCCAACACATCTAGTGAATAACAAAAATAATAAATTGCGAGTTCAAACGAGATGCTCTAAATAAAATCAAACTAATAATCTGCTGTAATATTCTCCAAAGCAAGAAAACAAAATCTGCTCCTTTGTATATGCCACCACACTGCTGCTTTAAGGACTATCAGAAAAAGCTCCCTTCTCTATTTTCTACCCACGCGATTTGTAGCTCTAGCCTTTGCTCTGTGTACCACCTTTTTTCTTCAGCCTCCCAAAAGTGATAGCCGCCACCCGATAAATCAAGAGTCCTCAAAGTCTTTGATTCTACTTGCCTTATTTTCTCTTTTCTTTTCCTGTATCAATACCTAATCAGATAAAGAAGAATATTAACACCATAAATAATATTTACTAATTAAGCTAAATAATAAAACAAAGAAGAAAGAAAAAACAGAAAAGCAAAAAATAAAATAAAATAAGAACTATACGAATTAACACATACAAATTATGTTTTATATTATTTGAACATTATAAAAATAAAGATATTTTGAAAAATATTAGATGAGATAAGAAGATTGAATAAATATAAAATATATTTACAATATAATCAACCTTGTAAGAAATTAAGTTATTGAATTGTAAATAATATATATTGTTTGTCCTATTTGTGTGGTCTTTTTCGCGCGTATTTTGTGTGTCGTTTCTCCCGTTTTAGGTCATTTATTAGAATTTTTCCGGTCCTTCTTATCGTTTCTTGCGTTTTAGTTTTATTTTAGGATGTTTAGTATTTTCGTTGTTTTTCCTCCTATTTTCTCGTGCTTTTTTTGGCGTTTGTTTGGTTGTGGTGGTTGTCAGGTTATAAACGATGAAACGGTATTCGTGTCCAGTTCCTAGGATCCCAAGTTGGCTCGTGCGACCAAAACATGCGGAGGTTGAAATTACAGCTCGAGCAGAACCCGAGAAATGCTAGCCGAGAGCACACGAACCCGAAATTTCAAGATTTTTGGAAGCAGCCTAGGCTTAGCGCTGCTAAGGCCTGGTGGATAGCGGCGCTTTGAGATGACAAGCAGACTGAGACGAACAGCTAAGGCGCCGAGGTCTATTTTTCAACTGACGCTTTTTTTCTCGCGATTTTGAATGGGGGACATATTTGATCGAGCTTAGGGCATAATTTTGGGGACTAGACTTCGTTTTTCAGACATTTTTCATCACTAGAACATTTTTTATCTTGGTTTATGCTCGGATTTGATTTTAGAGTGTAAAAACTCATTCTCTAGCTTGTGGATTTGGATTGTTCGTCGTTTTCTCTCGACATTGGATTTGGTAATAATCGTAAGCACTCATTTTTATTTTGTGAATGAATGTGATGGCTTATTTTATTGTGAATGTTTGTGTTGAGATTGCGATGAGTAGCTAAATTCCATAAGTTAGGAATAGGGGAAGGTTGTTTCGGTTCGTTTTCAATTACGTGTTTGATAATTGTTCAATCCTTGCGAGTTGTGCGAATTCTAGGGTTAGTTGATTGATCACCAATCTAACCTAATCAATCGACGTTTAGAAATGAAAGGGGAGACGTCGGTCGATTTAGGCTCGTTTGGAATAGACTTGTTCGTTATTGTATTGTCTATGTGTTGTAGGGTTTGATGAGTTGCTCGTGTATGTTCACCTTTTTGTTACGAAAAGTTATTGAAGGTGAACCTCCATACGAGTAGGCGATTCAAACCCTTTAACCGAGCAATTGATTGCCCGGTAATTGAGTCAAGAACCGAAAACGATTGTCCCCGACTCCCTAACTCATTTATAATCAAGTTAATCCGTTTGCTTTTGAATTATCGTATCTCATTGCTTTAAAATTCATAGTTGATAATTAAAACCCCAAACAATGGAGTTAGAATGTTTAGGAATTTCTTTTCTCTTTTCTTGTGACTGAATATCCGTACAAATAATCCGACCAAGACCCGGCGTTTGAATCCTTTGATTTAACTCCGGTAAAAATACTTACAACATATATATATATATATATATATATGTATATATTTATGTGTGTGTGTGTGTGAGTGTGTGTGTGTGTTTTATCATTTGACAAATCGAATATAAAACATGGTTATTATTTTAAGTAATTACATTTAATAATTTTTAACTATTAGTTGTATTTTTAATTTTTTAATATTCTATCATAATAATATAAATTTTTCCCTTTTTTTTTTGCAGAACAATAGAAAATACTTATATTCACAAGAAATTTGGGACTGGAAAACAACTATTCAGCCGAATATATAGCCAAACGGCTGAAAAAACTAATCAACCGATTTTTGTAGAGAGAACTGCACGTACACACTGGCGGCAACCTATAGTTAAACTAAAACACACAACACACTACACAACTAAACAAACTCCCGAAATGAGAAGAAAAACAAAAGTTCCCAACATGAGAATATACCAAACTCACTCCGAAGGAGAGAAGAAGTGAAAACACAAACAAAACGAACCACAACACACCAATGCTAGCAAACTAGCTACAAACACAACAAAAACACAAAAGAACACTACTCCACGCAACTAAACAAACTACCCCGCAACAGACAAACTACTCCAAGCTTCGCAAAGGCAATGTGAATGGAGACCGAACCACAACCCGGAATCCGACCCAAAAACTGTTTTGGTAAAATTTTTAATTTTCTAGCATTCGTGTTGTTCACGGACGTTACATTAACTGTGAATAAATGAATTATTATATTTAATTTTGACAAAAATAAATATATATTAAATAAAAAATAATTATTCATAAAAATATTTTCAAGAAATCAAAATAATATTTAAAAATTAATTTTTACTAACTATTAGTTTTTTAGTTCACAATTAGAATTTCTATTCTTTTATACTTTTTATTAGATTAGATAATTAGTTTTTTTTTTTTTTTTTTTTTT